AAGCAGATAACATGATTGCATCAGTGCTGGCCGTCGCCATACGCCATCACAGCATTTTGTGGAAATGTTGATCCGCAGGAGAAAATACTTCGTCCAGTGTGTTATGTGAAGGGTCGACAAAGTGAGAACTCGTTGGTGATGTCAGATCGTTACAAATGCCAGTGCAATCAGATATGACTGAGAGCTGATGTTATTTGGTGAACAGGCCCACAGCCAAATTCTGCAGTCACATGCCTCAAAACAGGTTTGCTTTTAGTTATAGATCACATGACAGACAGGGAGGGAGAGGAAGGAAAGGAAAAGTATATTAAGTGTATGTTTTGCTCTTTTCCATCTATGTTTGGAGTGCTTTTTCGGTGTGTAGGCCTACTGCTTTCATTACATTTGCATGTATTCATTTACCACTACTGCTATTAATAATAATGATAATAATAGTTATTATTAGAAACTGTTGTTTTGTTGAAACATTGAATTACCAACATCATATGTAGAAAAGTGTTAACATTTCAGATGTAACAACAAATCTATAAATATTTAAAACTAGATTTAGTTTGTAGTTGATTTAGTTTTTCATCGTGCGTTGTTGCTTAAAACAAATAAAGCAAACTGCTTTGTTACATTTATATATGTTGCTGTATGCTGTTTTGAGTAAAGCCTTCATTTTTACTTTTCATTTCTAAATGAGTGTTCTCCTGATGATTCCATTTGTATTGCACTTTTAGTCGAAAGGAAAGAAACATTATGTTAAAGCGAAAGTAAAGTGAAATAAACTGTAGTAACCTCACTTAGTAGTCTACCTTATAAACTCATTTAGCCCAATTGTTATGGGTCATTATTAATATAATATGCAAATACACATTTGATAGAGAGCCCGGAACCCCCAAATCGTAATAATATAATACATTCTATCCACAAATTTCATCTACATACATTTATCTGTTTAGCCATAACTAACCCACACAGTGCTCCATACTGAGATACATGCTCACTGGCCAAATTCCTTTGTTCTTGTCCTTTCTCAACCCATATATAGTATTATTCAAAACAGACCCTGCTAATACGATGCACCTTAACCATGGGAGAACTGAGCGCATGTGTTTGTCCTGAAATATTAACTTTCTGGAAGCAAATTCGAATGTAACTAATTTTCCAGTAGTTGTCCTGTTTTGATATCCGATGAAGCTCCTGTAAGTAAATGTGCACAGCTACGGGCAGCCCTTTATTTTCACAGAACAGATGTGCCCTCTAGTGGCAATAATGTGCACCCCTGTTTATTCTTGCATTCTTTGAAAATTGCGGGTTACATACATGTTTCTTTTTTTGCAGTCACGTTCCCAGGCATTTAAATATATTTTGAAGTCTATTTGTTCAAAATGAAAAATAGGTGATGCATCGAATGCATGACTGCACCCCAAACGATTGTCAGCTTTAAGGTCTGTAGAGTAGAGATGCATTTCGTGAATAAACGTGACTTTCAATGTACTGGGGGGGTCGATGGCGCTTTAGTCTCACCATCAATACATCGACCAGACGCCCCGTAGAAGTGTCTGCGTTTTTGTGTGCAAGTAACAGACAAAGAACCAGTGAGGTTAGTTTCAAAGAGAAGAGCAATTACAGTCCTATACCATAAACTCATTTAGACCAGACGTCTAGCTCTTTCTATAGCTTTATTGGACCCAATTTCTTCCTGCTCTAAAGCAATTCTTGGTACAGGTTTGACGATAAATTGGGGTTCTTTGCAACACCTTTTCCTAATCATAAACTTGTTTTTTTCAATATTACCTAACAACGAATCTGTATTTTGTGTTCAGCATGAATCAAAATTAGTCTTGTCGCAGGTTGTAGCACCGTATATAAAAGCGTATTTATTACAAACCTTTATTTAAAAGGCCTGTACATATGGCAGTGTGCAGTCGAAATTGCAATTTATTTGTAAAACATGGTGTGAAAAGAGAACAATTTCACAGTAGGTGCACGAGTAGAGTATTTAACAAAGCTTGTCCACACCCAAATTCACTATACAACACTGATGTATTGATGCATCTACCACACCAGCAAGACCTTCAACTAGAAAAACACTAGTTTTGAAACGAGAGATTAGAAATATGAGATTGTACGTGATGTCCAATTTAAAAAAAGACAGAAATTAACGGCACAGTGAATTATTACATGTGGCTGCATGAAAGTGAAGAGTGGGTTTTGCATGCATTATGGACAGAATTAAAGCTCACATTAATAACTGATCAGACCACGAACCATATCCTAATTTCCTATAAGACATTTTAGTGGTAGGATTTTAATGAATAAGGATAAGTAACTTCTGACGCTGAATTTTACTTTGAAAGATAGGACACTGAATTCTCAGATCCTGAATGATGGTGCTAGGAAACCGATTTTAGACCTTTTAAGCCAAGCACTGTATAATTTATTGTGGAATAGGCTACCCATTCATTTCAAGTCACTCACATAATAACTCACATAATATATATATATATATATATATATGGCATATCTTCTGTTTAATTATATATATATATATATATATATA